TGACTGGTTTCTCATGCTTGCTGCATCATTGCCTTCTCACAGTTCATTTAGGTATCCTGTGTGTAAATTTAACCATGATTTCAAAGGGGTTCAGAAAAATACTACCTTACTCTAGAAGGAGTTTGCTCTGACTGAGTAGTAAAGACCACTGCTCTAGTGTCAGAAATGTCACTATGTACATATACACTGACATTAATTTGTATCCAAGTTTTACAGAAATGCAAATATAATTTTACTTTTAAAAAAGGGTCTTAGTCTAGAGAAAACACTGGATTTAAGAAATTATCTCCTTTGTGTTTTTCTACTTTTTATAGTATGACATTGAATTGAATGGATTTAATGTATCCTTGAACCAATGGCATATTTTTTCTGTTGATAAAAAAGAATATTATGTGTCTTGATCAAAATTTTGACGGTAAATATTTAACTTATATTTTTCTACCAGGTCATGTTTTAATGACTTTGAGAGGACATCCCGGCAAACTATTTCAATACAAAGAAAAAGTTATTACCAAGATACTTGCAGTAAATAAGTTTTGTTCCCTGAATAATAATGTTGGGTAAAATGTTAAGTTTCTTTAAAACCTATCTGGTATGAGGAGTTTCCTGCTGAAAGGAACAGTCCTCGCGTTCTGTGCTGCCTCCCCTGAGTGTGAGTCCTACTCTGTGTCTGAGCCATCGTCATCTTGCGCTCAGTTGTTTTTAAATGCAGTGAACTTGAGTTTCACTCTGCATAAGGTCAGATGTTATGCAGAAATGGCAGTAGGCTTTGGGGGGTAATTTGGAAAGTTTTTGTTTTGAAATCCCAAAGAAATAGACACAGAGGATGGTATTAGATGAATATTGTTTTGTGTTCTCACTGTGCAGCACCAGAGCACATATACATTTTTAAATAGTTCAAAGTGTTTTTTCTAACCTATTTTATTTGTTAACGAAAAATAAACTGTTTTCTGGAGTTTAATTTCACACAGCAATATAAGATGCAAGTTTTAGAGACATTAATATTTAAATGCTAATCCTGTTAATCTAGGTTTGATTTTAGATTACAGTAACTTGGGATTAAATTTAGAATTTCTCCTTTCATCCTCTTGATGTGCTATAAGGAGTGAATATATTGGCTAAAAACTTGTGAGGTAGTCCCATTAGTCTGAAGAAATAAAATTGGTGCTATAGAGAAATATCTCCTTCAAGAGTTCAGATCCCCTTACCAGCCAACTGCCAAAAAACAAACAAAAAAATGTTTTAAAATAAATATCTCTTTTCTTCCAGATCACACGGGCTGTGATAGCTACTGCCTAAAATTTTCAGGAGGAAAAGAAATGTTTTATATCTTTGCCCAAGAATAGATGATTGAGTGCCAAAG